TCTGAAAATTTTTCCTAGCCATTCGGTAATGTAGATCACGAGCCTGAAAATGTTCTCATTCCCTGCAAGCCAGTCATTAAGTTCTTGAATCTGCCCTAAAGACCGTGAGCCTCAATATGACAAAAGCTCTACACAGAACTGTTTTCAACACATTCTTTAAAATAGCAAGCAGTTGAAACTATGGAGGAATAATAATGAATGATATATCCACTCAATGTGATAATGCCCAGCCTTTGAGGGTATGTTCATATAGAGGATGTAGCAATACAAAAAGATGTTTATAATATCTTATAAGATGTTTAAAATGTTAAGAAATCAGGATGCTGAATTACATATTCATTAGGCTAAGTTCATATTTTTTAAGAAGACCCATTTATAAAAATGACTAGAAACGGTCCCATTTATATGAGGCATCTAGAATAGTCAGGTTCCTAGAGACAGAAAATAGAATGGTGTTTATCAGGGACTGGGGAAGAGAAAAATAGGGAGTTATTAGTTAATGGGTAGAGAGCTTCATTTTGGCAAGGTGTAGAATTTAGTGATTTCATCACCTACATGTAACACCCAGTGCTTTTCACAAGTGCCCTTGTTAATATCCATCACCCATTCAACAAATCCTATTTTATCTTTTTTTTTAAGTTTATTTATTTATTTGGTCGGGGGCGGGGGGGGGGAGTGTGCACGTGTGGGGGAGTGGCAGAGAGAGAGGGAGAGAGGGACAAAGACAGAATCCCAAGCATGCTCAACACTGTCAGAGCACAGCCCTACACGGGGCTCAAACTCGTGAGCCATGAGATCATGACCTGAGCCGAAATCAAGAGTCAGACGCTTAACTGACTGAGCCACCCAGATGCCTCAACAAACCCTATTTTAAAAATAAATTTCAACGTGCAATTGAATAAAAATATTTTTAATGTCTTTCTACAGGTTTTTGAGGGCAATAATAATCCACTTTCCTCACTTAGGTTAAATACTGCACCTTGCCTGATTATTCTGCCCATTTTACAGAGGAGGAAACTGAGGCCAACAAAGGCTAGGTGACCTGCCAGGATCCGTGTTTTGGCAGGGACAGTGTGGATGATTCTAACCATTGCAACCTCAGGCTATTTGTGCTGGAATGGCCAACACAGATCATCACAACTACACATTTTGCCCTCAGACATAAGCGCTCCAAGACTTAGAGAAAGAGCTCATCCATTAAATGAAATTCTAACCAGCCTCTACCTTCATTAACTTTACGGTTTTCATGAGAAAAAAAAAAAATGGCTTAAAAAAAAAAGTCTTGGATTTAATACCAACAAAGACAATTTCTTAATAGATCCCGTAGCCAGCCAACAAACTTCAGCAAAATTTCCCCACTCTCTGCTTCTCAGGATTGGGACCCTGAGGCTTTGAAACTCTGAATCATTAAGGAGTCAGTTATGTTCAAGAGGTGGGACACCCTAAGGTAGGAAATTTAGGCTCATCTATGTTGGAACAGTTTTTTACAACAAGGGCTATTAGTGATTTAATATACTGATATCACTCATTTAGCTCACAGAATATTGAGCTCCCTGGGGCACCTCCCACATTCTGGTTGTTTTTCACTTTAAATAAGGCAGCAGAGTGTCCAGGGAACGTGTATCAAAGGATCTGAATGCTTCAATGATAAAGGTGAATTTCATACTTGTTGATGCTCTAGGCGTCACTTTGCCTTGTCTCCCTTCAGTGACCTTTGCAGGCCGGAAATAAAAAAAAAAAACAAAACAAGCAGTTCATGTCAAGCGCAAGAAATATTCATAAGCCTTTTCCTAAATTCACTGAAACAAAGGAAATCAATTCTCGTATCCAGCACCTAGTAATTAAGGAACCACGCCTTATTAGTAATAAAGAGAATATGGAGTAAGGAGAGGTCTCAGTCAGGACTCCTGCCGAGCCCAGAGAACCAGCCTGGTTGGGGGAAGAGACCAGTGAGTCAGTCAGCTTTGGCACACACCGAAGGTCATCGATTCAGAGGACATTCTGTGAGTCAACCACCAAATTGTGTTCGGACTTTCCAGGTTCTGCGAAAGACACAACAATAAGATGAGATACCTCAGGAAAAAGCTACCATAAAGAACTCACAGCAAAAGGCCTCTAAACAGGCACAGGGAGGGGACTTCATCTCAAAGGCTAACTATGATGGATGGAGCCTGCATGGAATGCTGATTTGAGAAGGGTCTGAAGACAATACATTTCATATATTAAAAAAAAAAAAAAATGAGAAGGGTCTGAAGCTACCATCCCAGTGGCCAGGAGAAGGTGTGGGGAGAAGACAGATGACAGCAAATGTGCCAGACGTTTGTCACCCCTGGCCCAAACCATCACGAAAATCACTTTTGCAGAACTTACGCTGTCTAGGCAACACCCGTCTTAGGTAAAACGGAGAGGGGGGTGAAGTTTGTTTTTAGGACACCGAGCTTCCCTCTACCTTTCCCTTTTTCCCAGTCTCCGGCACCAAATAACCTTCTGTCCTCTATTGCTTTAGCCTCTCCATTTCTCCAGGGGGCTAACGAAAAACTGTGTCAAGTCTCAAGGGTTGCCGTGCCAAAGCAGCAGCCATTAGATCTCTGGCGGCCCAGTTCAGGTCTCAGAAGGTTGGCTCAGAAGCCACACACTGGTGCACCTGCAGGTGGGAGAAGGGACACCCAGCAGAAGAGGAGGGGACGACAACCAGAGGCCATCTTTCTTCCTTCAAGACAGAAGGTTGGACAAAAGGCAGAAGAACGTAGACGTGGCTGTCCTCCTTTCATGACTGGGGTAGCACAGAGTCTGGTCCAAAGGCAAGACTCATGCTGTTCGCTGAAAACTAGATCCAACCCTAGCAGAATGAGCTCATCAGACGAGAGCACCTTCTCCGTTCTTGCTGCACATGCTCACTTTATTCAGGAAACCTGTCCAAGGGCACCTGTCCTACTCCATTCTCAACCAGAGGAGTTTGGAGCCTACCCTTACAAACCTGGACCAACTTCTCTGCCAATATAACTAGGATATTTCATAAACGATAAATACATGCAAGAATCAATAGCTGCCTCTGGCCCTGCAAGACAGCAAGGTCTACCCAGGGATGGACCTTTCTACATAAGTCCCCAGCTGATAAAAATAAAAAGGCCAGTCCCCCCACCCTTACTATGAAGGCAGCTCATGTTATCAAACCTTCCTAAGTCAGCCTTCCCCAAGAGATTCTCTGTTACCGCTGAGCTGGTTCCAGTCTATCCAGTCAGGACACAGTACTGCTACTGGGCCAACCAACCCAGCTCTGCCTCTGTGAGCCTGTCTACCCCTTCATCTCTACACCCACCAGGGAGAGAATGGCACATACGTGGCACAGGTGGATTGCAAGGTCTTTAGGTATAAATTGTGACTCAGTCCTTTGGGGGTGAAAAACTCAGCAAGTTACTCAGCCCTCTGTGTCTCAAACTGTAATAGGAGAATTTCGCGCACCTTATCGGTATTCGATTACATCTGCTAGAATGAGAGCACCGCAGACAGGGGCCGCCAGGCTGCTCAATACACAAAATAGCCCAGGCATCATACGGTGCCCCCTAGAGTGATGTGTTGTTAATTGCATGTGGTGGCCCTGCCGCTGGGACCAGGGTTTTGTCTGTCCTAGCCTTTGGTCTGCCCTAAGTGCCTAGGGTAGTGCCTGACTTAAGTAGAAACTCATAAATACATGCTGGGTGAGTGAATTAGACCTTCATCAGGACTTCAGTCGATAACTTCAATACTGGCTTTGGATTAAACACTTAAGAAATAGTAACAGTGATTATTGTTATTGATGATGTGGTTAAGTCTAATAGGAAAAACTTTTCCTTGAGCCTGGCTTTTATAAATTCATGGGGCGCTGGATTTGAATGTCGAGTGATACCCTCCTGACGAAAGTAACTTTTCTCACATCCTACCACCCAGGGGCTTTGCCCTTCTCTCTTGCTTGGCCTGGCCTGGCTTCTTTCTGCCCGCAGCCCGACTTTGACCCCATCCTGCCCCCAAGGCCGCTGCAGGACAACAGGACTGCCATCCAGCTACCACAGGGGGCGGCTGTCTCATCTTTGTGTGACAGTCGTGACTTTCTCTTCTCTGCCTCTTCTTGGCTCCCTCACTTGGCACTGGGGCTGCTATTCAGTAGCTCAGTCCTACTCAAAGGCCACAGCTCCTTCTTGGAAATGGCACAGACTTGAAAACAAGGGGCCCAAACACCTCTGCCAACAGGGACATTGCATAATGACAGCACCATGTTCCAGGTGAAGAGAACCTGGTTGCAGAGGGGAGACAGGATCTCTTCACCACACTTGGGGAGGCTGTGTGAGTGTTTAAGTCACCTCTCACTCTAAGGGACAGATTTGTTTTTGAAAATCAGACCACCCTGGCTCCAGCCTGAATGTTCTTCTCTTTCCTCATCATCACCGCACCCATAGGGACAATCTCCTTTAGGGGGACAATAGGTGGCTGTCAACTTTATATAATGTAAACAATGTCAGGAAGGAACCCACCCAAGAAATATGACCTCCCCAAATGCCTGGGATTCCACTATTAGTGATTCACTCTTTTGGTTCAGTACCACCCACTTTCTGGCTGTCCTGAGAAATACACATTCTCCTGGGAGGTATTACGCATTAAGTTCCTAACACCTGGAGTGAATAACTTCACCTGACATTTTATTTTCTCCTGATAGGAGAGATACATGGGTGCTTGGCCCACAGGGCTGAGGTGGGTCTCAGAGAGCCAGAGAGCAGGGGAGGCTTTGCAGTCAAACTTCCTAAGTGTCACCAGGTTTCTAAGAGCTAGGCCTGACTGTCCCCTCCAATGGTAGCTGGCCCTGGAGCTGTTGATTTCCACGAGTTAATCACCTAAGGATTCAAAGAGGCAATATACATAAAGGGCCAACTCCGTATGCCATGTGTCATCAACGACAAATGTGAGTCTGCTCTACTCCTCCCATGAATAGAGAGACATTTGTCTTGGGGGAGAGTGCTGGTTCATACCTGCTCCTCATCTTCTGGGAAAGGCAAGCCAAAGAAATCAGGTATCTCCTCTACTCCCTGTTATAGCGTGGGGACTCCTCTGTCCAACAGCCCACTTGGTTCATGGTTTCTTTACCACTGCTGTGGGAGAGAAAGAAAGAGAGGGTCAGCCCATGTTTGAGCAACTGCTGGGGGGAGGGGTGTCCTGGTTTCTTGGCTCTGAGAGTTTGAGGAGCCTCTTGCTTGGGGTTGATTCTGCTCTGCTCCCCAGCTCTGCAAATTCTCTTCTGTGGACCAGGCTCTACTATGGGCCTCAAGAAGTTGACCTCTATGGACTCCATTCCAAGCCTCCTTTACCCTCTGCCTTCTAGTGATGCTCAGCTGGTGGCAGATGTCAGGAGGAGATTGGGAGGCAAGACAGGAGAGGGATGAGCAATTAATTGCCCCCACTCCCTTACTACTGGGCCAGGACTCTCGGTAGCTGTGTCCCCTGAGCCATGATCATGGATCCCAAGAGACAGCCCATCTCCCGTGGCTCCAGTGTTCACTGGGTTCATCTGCCGAGGGCTAGGAAAGACTTCTCACTCTCGCTGGTCCCTGGGGACACTGCCATCTCTTACTGACCATCACCCCTTTGCTTCCCATCCACCAGGTTTGTTGAACAGACCAAATGGGATTCTACATTTGGTTTTATCCCCAATCCTTGCTGAGGATCTTCTGATTCTCTGCTACGTGCCTAAAATGCATTTTCTCATTTAATCCTCACACCAGAGGTGTAGAAATGTCATGTAACTTGCTCAAGATCACACAGTTGTATTTGAAACGTGCCCAGGAGTGCCAGTAAGTATTATTTAAAGTCAATTTTGGGGGGTGCTGAGGTGGCTCATAGGCTAAGCGACCAAATCTTGATTTCGACCCAGGTCATGATTTTACAGTTCATGAGTTTGAGCCTCATATGGGGCTCTTGCTAACAGTGCAGAGCCTGCTTGGTATTCTCTCTCTCTCTCTCTCTCTCTCTCTCTCTCTCTCTCTCTACCTCTCCCCTGCTTGTACTATATCTCTAAAAGAAATAAACAAACAAATATTTTTAAAACATAAAAAAAATAAAGTCAACACTCAGACTCTGTCCAGAAGCTCTGGACTTGGGAGTCAAGTATTCCATTTCAGCCTCATTCTGCTCACCACAGTCTAGTTGGATAGATATTTCTGAATTTATCTTCTAAAAGCAGGCTCAGTTCAAAGAGACATTTATTACCTTACTGGATGCAGTTGGGGAAGGCTGTCCCAGAGGCCAAAATAAGTCAGGCCCTTGGCAAAGATGTGATGTGGAGACTCTGCCTAAAGCCCCCTTCTCCTCGTCCTTGGGGTCCCTTGCTTACTCCCTTCCAGCCCCCTGCTCTCCATCCTCAAGCCCCTCTGGCTGATCTATGGAATCCACTGACATCAGTCTACTTTTCTCATGCCTCAGTGCATGCCTCCTGTCCATTTCCCACACCCTGCTCCCTGCTCACTGAGAGTGTTCCAGTGCAATCCAAGATGACAAATTGCCTTAACTTATTTAAATATGCATATCTTTAAGGGAGTACACAAAAAGTAATGTCAATGGTGGAAGTTTTAAGTGCCAGTTTAGGCCAGTGAGAGAGATATTTATGGAGAAGGAAATCTTTTTGCTGATTCCTCAAGGATGCCATACAGATATCTAGATTATAGCTCCTTTAATATGTAAGGCAGGCACATCTGTATTTGAGGAGCCCTGGGATCTTTGTCTTCAGAGGCTTTCACAGAGGGAAAGGGAGACTGACAGCAGGATCAACCCACTTAGAACCCAAGTATTCCCTTTTTTCCATGACTGAAAATAAGTATTCACCAAGTATTTTATGTACTCTCCTAATTTTCTAGCCTGCCTTCCAGCTTAGTTTGCAGCAATAGGGTTAGCTCTGGCCATAGACTGTGGGCATAAGTGACATGTGCCACTCCTGAGCTGAAGCAGCTAATAGCTGATGTGCCCCCTCTACCTTTCCCTTCCCCTGCCTTAATGTCTTGAAAGTCATTTGTTCTAGACGGCGCACCTTTGAGGAAGGTCAACCAGCCTGCAACAGATATTTGGTGAGTAAGAAATCCATGTTTATTGTTTTAGATCACTGAAATTTTAAGGTTGTTTATTGCGGCAGCATAACAGAGCCTATCCTGACTAATACATCAAGTAAGATGAAATCTGAACAAGTGTTCATGCTGAATAGGACTGTTGGCACTAATTTCCCATTCCCTGTAACTCGAGAGCTAGAAAGGAAAAACCAACATTTCCCAGACACTTTGAAGGTATGGTTCTAGAAATAAATTCGTTTCCCCAAATAATGCCCTTGTGTGAAGCAGCATTATAGTAGAAACATGAATGCTTAGAGCCATTTCGGCCACTGGACTCCTCATTCCAGAGTTTAGTCACGAGCTTCATGGGTGCCAGAGGCACTTGTGGTGAAAGCAGCCAGGGCAGCAGTTTCCTAATCTCTGGATCACAACTACAACGGGATCACTTTGAAATAGTGCTCCCCAGTGGAACGCTCTAGATTTCCACTTCTCCAGCTCTTACAACAGTTCTATAAGCTTGTAATTCCCTGGACTGAATTCCTTTCTTCTTGAAATACATGGAGTGGTGGCTATTTCCTTCACTGAGCTCTGGATCTATGTTGCTTTAAAAAGTTTGAAAGCCTTTGAAAATAGATAGCATAGCAACAAAGACGATGTAGAGCACTCCAAAGACTCAAAACTGAGAGATGGCAGATTCTCTGAAACCTCAGAAGTTTGGAGGGAAAAATGTGGTAGAAAGAATTGCCACACAACCATGAGTTCATTTTTAAAATGTAGCATCAATGATTTAAATTTTTTTTTCAACGTTTATTTATTTTTGGGACAGAGAGAGACAGAGCATGAACGGGGGAGGGGCAGAGAGAGAGGGAGACACAGAATCAGAAACAGGCTCCAGGCTCTGAGCCATCAGCCCAGAGCCCGACGCGGGGCTCGAACTCACGGACCGCGAGATCGTGACCTGGCTGAAGTCAGACGCTTAACCGACTGCGCCACCCAGGCGCCCCTGTAGCATCAATGATTTAATGCAACTCTTTCCCATTACAATTGAAGATGAAAAGGAGGCCCAGTGAATCTAAGTCCCTTCTCCAAGGTGGCACAGGCAGTAAAGGCAGAGCTGTAGTTCAAACTGAGGTCTCCTGAATGTGGATTCTACTAACCATTTTGTAGACTCCATCAAGAAGGCTAACAACAAGCTGCTGGGACTGTCTCATCTGCATATTCCCCCAACTGTCCCAGAGGCGCCCCCAATGTTCTACACACCCCACCTACACATACCCCCACCCAATGGCTGGCTTCCTATGAAGGAAGCAAGGGCAAGCCTTTGTAGACAGCTAGTGAGCATGCAGAGAAAGCCAGCCCAACTCTGCAGGATTGGGAGAAAGTTGAGATTAAGCACTGCCCTAGGGTAAGCAAATGGGAATCTGTCAGTGGTGGCCTGGCTTTGCAGGATTGAGAGAAGGCATACAATTTTAAGAATCCCCCTACCACCAGGAGGGTGCAAGAAGTGTAAAGCAGGTCAGTCCGTAGAAAAGATCTGAGAAAGGCAAAGAATCCCTAGCAGGGCTGAGACAGAAGGTATTTCTCTCCCAAAGCCAGTCGGTAAAGACTGGAGGAGGTGACTGCTTCTTCAAATGTGAAGATGGTATATGTAAGATTTCAAGGAACATGAAAAACCAAGGCAATATAACACTACTAAAGGGACACAATAATTTTCCAGTAACTAACCACAAAGAAATGGAGATCCATGAATTGTTCAATAAATAATCCAAAGTTGTTATTTTAAGAAAGCTCAGTGAGCTACAAGAAAACACAGGACAATTCAATTGAAATCAAGAAAACAATACACAAGTAAAACAAAAACTTTAACAGAGAGATACAAATCATAAAAGAGAACCAAGCAGAAATTCTGAATCTGAAAAATACAATGAATGAAATGAAAAATGCAATGGAAAGCATCACCAGCAGACTTGATCAAGCAAAAGAAAGAATCTGTGCAAAGACAGGTCATTTTCAATTATCCATTTAGAGGAGAACAAATACAATAGAATGAAAAAAAGGGAAGAAAGCCTATGTGAATTAATGGGATGCCATCAAGCAAAACAACCCATGCATTATTGGAGTCTCAGATGGAAAAGAAAGAAAAAGGTGGTAACCTTATTTAAAGAAATAATGGCTAAGAAATTTCCAAATCTGAGGAGAAATTTAGATATCCAAGTTCATGGTGCTCATAGGTCCCCCAAAAAATCCAACCCAAAAAGATCTTCTCCAGGACACATTTTAATGTAACCATCTAAAATCAAAGAGTCTTTTTAAAGCAGAAAGAGAGGGAAAAAAACTCATCACAAACAAAGGAACTCCCATAAAATTATCAGTGGACTCCTTTTTATTTACTTATTTAAATCCAAGTTAGTTAACATACAGTGTAGCAATGGTTTCAGGAGTAGAATTTAGTGATTCATCACTTACATATAACACTGAGGGCTCATCCCAACAAGTGCCCTCCTTAATGCCCATCATCCATTTAGCCCATCCCCCCACCCAACTCCCTTCCAGCAACTCTCAGTTTGTTCTCTGTATTTAAGAGTCTCTGTATTTAAAGGGTTTGCCTCCCTCTGTGTTTTTATTTTATTTTTCCTTCCCTTCCCCTATGTCCATCTGTTTTGTTTCTTAAATTCCACATATGAGTGAAATCAGTGGGCTTCTGAGCAGAAATCTTGCAGGCCAGAAGAGAACAGGATGATGTATTTAAAATGCTGAGGGAAAAAAAAAAAAACTTCCAACCAAAAACACATTACCTGGCAAAGTTGTCCTCCAGAAATGAAGGAGAGATAAAGACTCTCCCAAACAAACAAAGCTGAGGTGGTTCATTGCTGGACCTGCCTTACAAGAAATGCTGCATGTTCTTCAGGCTGACATGAAAGGATGCCAATTAGTAACATGAAAACATAGGAAAGTATAAAGCACATCAGTAAAGGTAAGTGTATAGCCAATTCAGAATGCTCTAATACTGTAATCTGGTGATGTGTATATCACTTAACTCTAGTATAAAGGTTAAG